TCATTTAATCAGCCTGTATGTTATTTTAAGAATTATGTACCTGTTAAAATTTAATGTAATGTATCAATAAACCATTTATCTCTTGTGTGTTCTTAATAATAAGCATTAATGTATATATAGTTTGCCCATCACTTCTTCTCATTATGTGCCAGTGATTGTTGTTCCATAAAGCTGTGACCTCGGCTGTTTGATGGTACTTTCATTTCCGATATCTAACATCTACTTGTATTCACCAGTAGTGGTCGAGTTGAAAACTCTTGTGCCCAAGTTTGACTGTGTTTGTTTGTTGCTACATTGACTAATTTACAATTAATTTGCTACAGTGCTCTCATCATATCTTGTAGTTAGATTGGTTGACAATTTTATTACCCTTGGCTACTTTATGACAGACAAAACACTGATTTTCTTGTTTTATGACACAAATTTTGTGTAATTTCTATTGGTAGATGGCGCCTTCTACTTTTAACTGCTTTCTTGAATGTTAAGTTTAAGGTTCCTAAAAAGAAGGTGTCCTTTACTGATTTTGAATCAACAACCAAGCTTTAATGATGCATGGAACATGTAGTATTGGACTATTAGTGCCCATGGGCATCATAAATTAAATGCATATCTTCTTTGAAGTTCCTTCAGCTAGCTGAATACATTCAAGTATGTTCTGCATAATTTATGTAATTTACAAAAAATTATATAGTTCATAACTGAATAGCACATTGATTTATTTGCTTGATTAAATCAGTCTCATTTGATTTATTTTATTGATTAAATCAGTCTCATTTTTTTTCAACTAATCGAAGTCCGTCAACATCTACTGGAGTCAGTCACAATTTCATTTGTGATTAAAATATTGTCTAGTAAAGTCTAGTCTAGTAAATATGTGCACAAAAGTTTCCACCAACCCCCGTGTCAAAATAATCCTTTTGAATTAGTTGGCCTGTAATTTCAACAAATAATTTCTCATAAATCTGTTCACCTCTATATGTTCATACAATTCATAGCAAATAACTTCCTGTGTTGGGACTGTATTTAAAACTGTTGTCTATTTTGTTAACATTTATTCAGGGAAAATACCAAACCTAATTTTATTAGCCCCTTTGATATACATGTACGTCACTCAAATGTAACAGGTTTTTGAAGGTACAATGAAACTCTAGGTCGGGGTTTGATAAATTTTATTACTAATCTATACAATAACTGTACCAATGAAATAGGAGTTATAATAAACTTAGGTGTAAGCAACAAAGATGACATCAAACATACAATATTAGATGAAATGACAAAGGAGAAGAAAGAAAGAGAGAGAAAGTCTTATATAGGAGAGGGATTAGAATTTAAACTGAGTAGAAATTAAGAAGATAGCTTGTCAGGCAAGGTAACATACGCCCACTGGCAGCTGTCAGAAATGCTAAAACAGTCTTTAGTGACTAAAGTATGAATTTTCTCATATTAAAGAAATTTTGAATTCATTGATATATATTTACTGCCAGATATTTATGCTGAGAAATTCGACCAAATATTTAAAAATCTCAAATTATCGCATGAATATACATGATCACACCATGTTTCATTAAAATCAGTTGAAAACTGTAGTCTCTTATGTGTTCACAAACAAATTTTGACGCGTTTTTCCTAAGTCAAGGGCAATAACTCAAAAACCGTTCATTGAATAATCGTCAAATTCGAACTTGACCAAGATCTCATCAATATAAGTGATCACACCAAATTCCATTAAAATCTGTTGAAAACTGTAGTCTTTATTGTGTTCACAAGAAATGTTGACGGATCGTTAATCGTAGGCTGTATGGTTATTTAGCCTACACGTAATTTTGCAGAAGTTTAAAATAACTCCTCTTTCATAGGGTAAGATTGTGTATGTATTTCCTCAATTATATATTTTAAATATGCATTATAAATGGTAGATTTTTATCTATATTATTTATTTGTGCTATATATATCAAATGAATTTCTATTGCTTTCATTATTTGTATTTATAACAATTATTTATGTATTTTCAGAGTTATTTGTTTAGATTGTTAATAAAATATATCGAACCTCGACCTGAAGTTTTCTTGGTGTTGAACCTGTAAAAGCCCCTGTAAATAAGGCAACAATAAAATTATAATCTTTTCTTTTCATTGTAGGTAGTTTTCTGGCAATATTATGTCCTCACGGCTTAGTCAAATATTATTATTTATCCCTCAAATATGACATTTCGCCATGACAATAACAGACAGGAAGAATTCTTTAGTCTCCTGAAATCATAGCATTGGCAAAATAGCATAAATTTTCCCTTATTAGGAAATTTTATTTTTAGATGAATCTGCTAGACGTAACTATATAGTAACCGAAGTTGATACTCGTCCAGTTACTGGCTGAAAAATTTATTTGGCATTGGCAGACAAATTTCATGGAGGTAACATGACAAATGAAAAAGATATTTTGAGGTCAATATCGCACGATCATCAATTAAGAGGCTTAATAAATTTTTAACATAGGATGACCTTAATATTGCCCTACAATTATGTGAGGGTATAGTAAGTATAGTAGGGAATGATTACGAATTATTTCCTTAAGGCGTTTTGTATTACTGATATTTTTACGACTATGAGCACCATGCTTATCACTGTATCTTATATTTCCTCTTTCATTCATTAAAAGTTGTGATTCGTGTCAATCAACTTCTTCCAGAAATAATCTGTAACATCTTGTACTAATTGATATAAAATTATATGGATGAAACTATGAGGTTGCCAGCCTCCTTGATTTTTGGCAGTGTAACTACCTAGTAACCATTCCTAGTTGATAATAAATCTTTTCCCAAGCTTTTCAGCTCTAATTAATTGAGTACCTGGATCATTGTAAACAATTTCTGTCCAACAGTCAATACTTGCTAATCTCCATTAGAAATGAACAAGTATTATATCCATACACTTTTGCAATGTGTACAGCTCTCATACTTAAGTTGGTGAAAGTAACTTTTGCACGTTTCTGAACTTCACCACGAACTAAGTATGGTCCAAACAAAGCAAGCATGACAAGATTAAATGGAAATTAAATTAAATGAAATTCATTTCATATCATTTCGAAAGTTAGTGTATGGAGAGGGCATATAAGATTTCGATACTTTCATTACTCTGTCATATATTTCTATTTCAAACTTTGTAGGTCAACTCGTTCTGTTTTTAAAACTATTATTAACATTATCTTGTAGATTTTTTAATGTGAACCATTTGAGGTCTACAATAATGTATTAATTACTTGCATCACAAGTATGTGTTTTAACATTATAATTCAATTGGTTACCGGTATTTATGATTATAGAAAAATTACCAAAGGTACAATTAGGTCTATTCGTAATTTAAGAAATTCTTACAGAAAGAAAAAGAATTGTACAAACTGGAATATATCAGTCATTCCAAACAAATTCAACACCACAAACCTATAAAAGTCAGGGATTGGAGAAGAGGATTGATGCTGAAGGATTGACACGTAAATTTCTCAGTCACGTTTTCGATAATTCTAGTTTATGGTTGAACCCACAGTTATTGGAAAAGCAACACTACCTCTTCATGGGTAGAATGACAGCCATCGGAAGAAGGTTCGACATATTTCTAGTAGAACAACCAATAGAAAATTCCAAAAGACAATGGAAGAACATTTAAATTATTAACATTATTACAAGGAAGATAGGTATATTTCCATCAACGATTTTTTGGAAAACCCAATATTGAATTCCAAGGTATTTTAAATCTGAAAAAAAACTAAGTTTAAGAGACAAAAATCAAGTAGAAATCAAATAAAGTTTTAGGTTTGAAAAGAAATTGTATACCAAATCTGCACTTGCAGAAAAACGAATATCGAGAACGGCACTGATATCAATATTCTTTGCAATTTGCTTGATGGCGGTTGAAGATATTTCGACTTTGAAGAAGAAATATGTATTCAATTTAAATGTTTCCTCATTTTCATTGAAAATAATTATCAATTTTATCATCGAATATATAATTAATATCCATGTTAATTTCATCTTTATTATTGATAATAAATATAGTCGAATTATCATCCCTAATTTCAAATACGTAAATAAAATAATTATACATATTACTACTAGTTACATTGATATACAAATTTACATAAATATATAAATATGAGAAAAGAAGATTGACCGAGGGATATTAGATTGAATTGTGGAATAAACTTTATTTCAATGATATTTCTCTGATATGTTTAACATCAAATAGAATTACAAACTGATCACTAGAATTTAAATAACCATTGTTTTTATCAGTGAGTTTAGACCAGGTGATAGGAGTCACCCACCAACCAAAATCAAATCCCTTGGTACTATCTGTTTCAGTTATAGTTTTACTATCATCATCAATATTCAAAACACTGATTTGACCATCAATAATACAACAGTTTAATCTAGAATTGTCATCTGGTAATAGTTGAATATAAATATATAAATTACCACTAAACCTCCTTGCACAACAAGTCCATTCCAAATTTTTGTAAGTAAACTTGTCTTGACTGTAATACCCTTCATCATCCTTCTTAAAATCATTTATATTAAAATAAAATTTACATGAATTGGACCCGTGTAGTTTGGGTATGTGATATTGTTTTAACATTGTAGATCCTAGCATGTCAATGTTTAAACTGAAATACTTTTCTTTCCAATCAAGATACTGAACCACTGATGGTGTTATGACTTCCACATCTTTATACAATTCTTCTAGCTCTTTTATTTTTTCAAGTGAAACTAAAATTTGTAAATCACATTCTTCTGTTAGAGAAGGAAAATTAGTCTCCAGATTCAGTTTTAAATTTTGTATATCTCCCATAATTTTCTGTTCAGTTTCGGTCAATTTTGATTCTGATTCTTCATACTTGGTTGTGATGTCTGTCATGATTCTCTCACTGCTAGTCTGTATATCTGCTATAAGTTTATCAGCTTGTTTCGTTATTCTGCAACAAGCATCTTTAGTAAAACGCTGGAGTGTCTCTCTCGCTTCTACTAACGCCACATGAATTTCTTCGAAGTCTTTTATTTTATTTTGGATGAATTTCTCTGAGGTTGAAACTAACTCGGTAGCTTTTGCTTTCACAGTTTCACATTCTACTTCTAAATACTCGTGGCCGTTGTGTTCTTTTACATAACATTTATAACATAACACACAATGGCAAGTTCGGCAATAGTAGTCTATTGGTCTCTCTGTATGACATGGACAGTGATATTTTACCTTTGAAGAGGTTTTGCCTTTTAAATAAGTTGCAAGTGATATTGTATCGGTAACTTGTGTTGTATGCGATGTTGTAACTTGTGCTGTTAGTGGTAAAGGCTCAACTATAAAGTTTGTTGTAAACATCTTAGCACCACCTTCTGGAATCTTAACATCCTGCTGACAGATCGGACAGAGAAATGTATCTGTTTTTGCACCGATATGTCTTTCGATGCAATCCAAACAAAACGTGTGTCCACATGTTATAAATTTAGGTTTTGTAAAACCCTCATAACAAATAGAACATTCTGGTGTGTTACTCACTGACGCTGTGGCCATTTTATTCGTCTATAAAGCACACTGTAGATGCCTTTTGATAATAACATTTAGGTATAAAACACTCTTTATTTATATGTCCTGGTTGAAAATATAACATTCAGGCATGAAACACACTGGAGATGTCCAGGTTAAAAATAGAATATTAAAGTATAAAAAACACAGAAGATGTCATTGTTGATAATACAACATTTAGATAAGAAGCACACTGGAGATGTCCTTGTTGATAATACAACATTCAGGTATGAAACACACTGAAGATATCCTTGATGAAAATGTAACATTAAGGTATAAAGCAAACTGGAGATGTCCTGGTTGTAAATAGAATATTCTTGTATAAAACACAATGGAAATGTTCTGGTTGAAAATAGAATATTCAGGTATATAACACACTGGTGATGTCCATGTTGGAAATGGAACTTACAGTCACTAACAAACTAGATATATGCTTGTAATGTGCGTTTATGGTTTTACTACGAAGAGTCGAGTTATATACATGTACTAGTTTACAGTTTTTAGAAATGGCTTGTTGATTACTGCACCATAGAAACTCTAACAATAACCATTGACTTTTACCTGTCCCAAATTAGAATACTAACAGAACAATAGATAGTTACCCAGCTACGACACTATAATGTTTTGACTCCAATTGTAAAGTTATTTGTACTGACATAAGGACGTATGAGGGTTCCACTATTCTGTCTTTGGGTAGTAATTCACAACACGGTTAAAATGTAAGTAAGTGTATTTGTAACAACAAAATACATGTATCTTCAACAAAAAATACACAGGACTCCCTGATATTCTGTCCCCCAAAGCAATGATCGCTGTCAAGAAAAGGGAAGTAAGAAAATAAGTGGAGACCATGTGTTGGTTTTAGTCCGCTCAGTTGCAGGTACTTGATGACTGTCATTTAACTAGTTATGTCAATTTCTGGTATTTTCAAATGGTAAGTTCACTTGACAATGATAGCACTAGGCCCCGAAGTCATCACAATTAGCTAAAATCGTCTGTCACATTTTTTTCACCAGTCGTGGTGGAGTTGAAAACCCTTATGCATAATTTGACTGTTTGAGCTGTGCCACCTTAAGTCCTGCTACATTGACTGATTTACAATTAATTTTCTACATGACTTTCATCTTATCTTGTAGTTAAATTGAATGACTGAAATTAACATGCAATTATATAGTTTATAACTGATTAGCACATTGATTTATTTGCATAGTAGTTGAAAAAATCAGTCACATTTTTTAACTAGTTGCAAATGTCAGACAAAATCTACTGGAGTCACAATTTCATTTGCGATTAAAGTAATGACTTGTTAAGTAACAAAAGATTTTCAAAATGTAGTAAAGATGTTTAAAACTTCCCACCAACCCTCGTGTCAAAATAATCGAATGAGAATTAGTTGGCCTATAGTGTTTACGAATAATTGCGTCACGTGCTTTAATTTCTCACAAATCTGTTCACCTGTATATATTCATTCAATTCATAAAAATAACTTGCCGTGTTGGACTGTATTTTAAACTGTTGTCTATGCTGGTTAACATTTATTCAGGCAAAATACAAATCGTTATTTTATTAGCCCCTTTTATATACATGTAGGTCAGTCAAACTATTTCAAGTTTAGAATTTAATACTTGTTTTACTTATATGTCACAGTGACATCAATATAATATAATAAAATATACTCTTACTTTTACATTATAAACTGTTTGTTCATTTTTATAGACAATCCAGATGCTAACCTATGATTCCATATTATATACTGGTGTATTTCTGAATAAATTGTACACATATTGTGTAATTTTTCAAACTTAGAATCGAACTCAGACGGAATCACAATTTAATTTCTTTCTCATAATACTCGCTATCCACTTGAAAAGGATGGGATTTTGTTTTTGTCTAGTGAAAAACATTCTTTCGTCACATCTGAGGTGTTTTGTTTTCAATGGTGAAATATAACAAAATTATGATCTAATTGCAGAGCGTTCTATTGACGCATGTCGTGTTTATAGCCATTCCATAGCCGTTCTATCTAACGCACTGCTTTGTTTTCTTCCGATTCTGGTCACGCTACCCAGTCAAAACTGCACATTATCCCACATGATCATCTGTCATACCTAGTGTTTTTTTTTAGATGAGTGTAAAATGGCGCATTTTCGCTCAACTTGAAACGACGTAGGACGTTAATCAATCATTACGAATTTCGAATTACTGCTCTAATTCTGAATCTATTTTGATTGTAATAAATATTTCTTTTGTTCGTTACCTTAAACTAGTGGCTAAAAATAGCAGTTTAAAAAAATTCCAATTTTGACTATTGTCGTTGACTTGAAGTTTTTATTTATTCGTTTTTTTTTTCAACTTTTGCCATTTTTTCGATCGATCTGACAATTTACAAATAGTATATATTTTGATTGCGAACACAAATCAGTTTTCAACTTTTTTATATTACTTCCTGGTTTGACGTCATTCGCTTCTTAAAATTTACTTCATACTTTGTATGACAATTATTCGGCTATAGCATGTGTTTGCTTTGTTAATGCAGCGGACACACTAGGCGAATTTTCACGGCGAATGGTTCGGGCGAATCAATCGGCAGTAAAATTCGCCTTGAGTCTCCTAGTGTGTCCAGTGCTCCGACGTTCGCCCGAGCGTCGGCCGAAGCCATTCGCCGACATCAAGCATGTTTGATAATATTCGGCCGAATATTAATCGCCGCCGACTCATTCGGCAAGTGTGTTTAAGGCGAATATTCCTATAACTCAACCAATCACAGACGCCGAAGCGTCACATGACAAACAAAATGGCGACCTCCAACGATGCAATGTGGAGTCAGGAAAAAGAAGAGGAATTAATCATATTATGGGAGTCTAAGCCCAACTTATATGATATTAGCAATATAGTAGTTTGTTTTGTTATCAGTGGTCCGACTAGAGTCAGGATCTCATTGAAGTTGTCTGGTGTCATCCGCGTCTTCCTCGGCTAACTCTCGTATAAGATTATTGTAGATTCCATGGGTCTGCCGCCGTTGTTTTATTATGGCTTTACCCAGGTTTTCCTATTCTTCCATCGCACTCTTCTTTTTCGCATTCGACGTAAAACCAAAAGAGTTCCGAGTACAATTGCCACCTTCCGCTTCTATCTGGACACCGCCATTTTGTGATCATGTGACTAAGTCTCCCCTACGCATGCGTAATTTAATTCGCTGGCAAATTATCGACACAAACATTCGCCCAGTGTGTCCACTTCGTCGGCCGAATGGATTCGGTGGCGAATTGTTATGGCGAAGTACCAGCGAATTAAATTAGCCTAGTGTGTCCGCTGCATAAATAAAACGATACAATACAAGATATTCATTAAAAACCCGTGGTATGACTTTTGTTCTTAAATATGTTAACAATGTTTGTTCTGATTAAATAGGCCCCCATGAATTCCCCCCCCCCCCCCTCGGGCTATAACAAATGGAAAAATTATTCTTCTTCCACCTGCGAGATCGCGTTAAATGCGTTCTCTGGCTTTCTACGTAACGACATTTTCCAAGGGGAGACGCCCCCCTCCCTCTAATTTCCCACTACTAGTGCCCTCTAAAGCAAAGGGGCCACCGGGGTGCTGGTATGCTCACTGAATTAATGTGGTCTTGATTGAATTCGAAGAATAACGGAAATTCTTCGAGTGATCGACATGATTACAAGTGTGCGAATGTAGGCGTTTGTTGTCGCAAGCAGTCACATACTGTTAAATACAAGTTTTTATAACGATTTAACTAAAATCTCTAGATTACGGACGTGACCAGGGGATCTTTAGACAACCAAAACGTACATGATCTATCAGTTTGGATGGCCTAATGTTTTCAACATGTTTTCTGAACCCACAGCACCATTAGTAAGAGACTACTTGATGAAACCGAGGTTTAGATCTAACGACAATACATACTGTGAAAACTATTCACATGACTATTATGATTGTTGTGAGTATAGATATATTCATCTCTATACAAGAAATCTTATGTTATTTTAGCCAATGCATCAAAGTTACCCATTGATTTTATTATGAACAGGAATATAACAATATAATCTTAGTTATCGCGTACAGTTTCTTTGTTCCTTGATCTTAATTAACGTTGGTCGTTAGCTATTCTTTCCAATTAATGTTGGATCGATTTTTATCGTTATTTTTGATTTGTTCTTTACTTTGAACTAATTGCTAAACGATAGCAATTTAAAAATGTATGTGTTTTTATAATGATATATATCTATTTATTAGTAATCTTAGGTTACTTTGATAAAGTCAGCACGATTCCAACATACTCACATAGCACTGGTCTTAAAATAGTACATCCTCTCACAAAGATAGCTTGCCAGGCAAGGTAATATACGCCCATTTGGCAGTGCAGTACAGTACCAATCACCAGTATGAAACATTCAACCTTCAGTCATACACTTCTTTTGAACTCGTTAGGGCGATACTGAATAATACTGAGGATGAGTTATTGCCCTTGTTCTTGAAAGCATGTTCAATTGTTAGCTCGTGAAAACTCTAGAAGGCAAATATTCAACTACTGAATAATAAAACCAAGTTTTGTCAAAATCCGGCATACCATGCCTGTTCAAGAGCGAACATTTTTAACGCGTTTTCAAGAACAGGCGCAGTATCTCCTATTAAATATTTTTCGATTCTTCTGATTTTCGATATGGTTCATCCTTGAGTGATTACGCAGACTCACACCAAGTTTCATCTAAATCCGTCAAGAATTGTGCCTTCTCGAGTGTTTACCAGCTAAACATTGAATGCGTTTTCAAGAACAAAGGCAATAACTTATACTAAATATTTTTCGATTCCTCTGATTTTCAATAGGGTTTATCCTTGGGTGATAACGAACATTCACCCCAAGTTTCGTCAAAATCCGTCAATAATTGTGCCTTCGATTGTGTTTACGAGCTAAAAATCGAACGCGTTTTGAAGAACAAGAGCAGTAACTCATATTAAATATTTTTCGA